AGAAAAATTCAATGGAAAGTGAAGTTCAAAATAAATGTTTAATACCAGTAGCCATTGATGTATGGGTATGATATTTTGAAGCTGAGAAATATTTCTCTTTTCAGAGTCATGTTGCACGAGTTCGATCAATATATATATATATATATATATATATGTGTGTGTGTGTGTGTGTGTGTGTGTGAGTGTGTGTGTGTGAGTAATTCACGTTTCTTCCCCCCATTCGCAGTTAGTGAACATTTTGATATGGATAAAATCCTCCAAAGATTTAACTCATTCGAGTGTAGCAGACATTCGAGAGCCTCGTGGGACTTGTGAATGCGCGAGTGTCCAAATCCAGTTACTGTGGATCGCGTCCCTTTGTTTGGGTGTAGGTTTCACTGTTTTCGCTACTTGATTGGTTTTGGCTCTATCTATCGAGCTGAACTGAGTGCTTTGCAGACGTCTCTTCACCTGCTGAAGCAATACACCTCGGAGTGGGGGTATCCGGCAGTTGGCAACATCAACAACCTATTTGCTTCACAGTGCCTGATTGTTATAATAAATGCACCAATTTTAAAGACGGAATGCTGCCGGTTATAAACCATAGCACTATTCTTTATTATTCTTTCGCATCATTTTGAAAGTATGCAAAATACTTTTTTTCACTCATTACTCAGAAATTATGCGATGGTCAAACAGAATCCAATTTTCTTTTCGATGAAGGTTATTTGTAAACCAAAATCATATGTCTCGGGTCGTTCAAGTCATACATTGACCACTTCCTCAGCTAAACCAAAACAGCGGACTACTAATTGAGAGTTTTTTTGCTCTGCCTGGGTCATCGCCTTGCACTGGTCATTTAGGTGTCATATATTATTGGGTTTCTGGTATTTGATCTTGACAAATTACAGTGCTTAGAATCTATGTGGTTTAACGTGGAGCACAATTTAATTTAATTGTAACTTTTGTCCATTGTTTGCTATCGTGATTGCTAAGTGGATAGAATTGCCAAGGCCAGCATACTTTGGGCCTTAATATCCGAGATTCCGATCCAACTGAATACTTCACTGGTCTGATGTGTTTATTGCTAACTATTTTACTCATGTGGAATCTCTTCTGCTTTGTTCCCTGTCAGTCATGGTTTGTGTCTTTTTTCGAACTCATGTGTTTACTTCATGTGTCTCATAGAGAGTCGATTTCGAGTTCACGGCTTGGGATCTACAGGGGCATCAAACATTCTCAATGTCGTTTACATCAGTTCACTGTCGTGTGCATTCTGGCCGCATTCCTTTTTTCTCTGAGGACTAAAATATATCACTGTTGTACAATTTATTCTCACTAACTACTCCTGAACTCTGATTGCGGAAAGGAGCTGGAATTAAAGTGTTAAATTATGTTATTGGGCTTGACTTGTGACATGTGATGTTTGTTTTGTGGCTTTATCCGTCAGTTAGCACAAGGGATAAAACTATGGGTGAACTGTTAGTGCTGTTTCGTCCAACACTGTGTGCAGACCCGCGTCACCGGCACCATCGAGATTCGGACTTACGCTCACGGTTTTCTATTGATCGAAATGTAGATGAAACCGTGTTTAAGGATTGACAGCGCAGAATGAATTCACCTGTGGAAGTTTTGCATTCAATCGATCATAGATTATGTACGGGAATAGATCACTGCATAATATTAACTGATAGAGTAAAGCATCCCTCATGCATTGTTTTTTACAATCCCAAGGCCTTCCTTCCTATGATTTGTAGAAGCTCTTCTCATCTTTTTGTTATACTGTCGATTAGGCGCGTGTTTGTCTGCATCCTACCTAGTTTCGATTTTTGTGTGATTCCAAGTAATCATTCTCCGATCCTCTCTAGCAAAATTCGCTGTTTTGTGCTCCCACTGACACCTGCACTGCTACACTGCTCATTGTTGGGGGGGGGGGGGNGGGGGGTAGGAGGCATACTTGCTGTTTATACGCGCGCTCGCACATATCCCAGGATTTTGCGGCTCCGTGCACTTGTGTGTGTCTGTCTGTCTGCCTGTGCCACAATACACGTGTATTTTACGGCACCGATTAATTTCAGCATCCCCTCGCAGCTCCAACCATCCATTTCTCATTCCAGTTGGGGGAAAACAATGATGAGGGCTTGGATGACTAGTTCATCGACCCCGTTTTTTGCCAGTGTGTACCTAACTGCGTACTATGCGCAATATTTGTCAGTTTTCTTCACCTACAACGGACCATTCTGTTGTTCACCCGTTTACCCTTAGTCGTACGCACGTGCGTGCGTGTGTGCGTGCGCGCGCGCACTCGCTCCCACGTATGTATGCGTAATTTCGTTGGGATCGGTCCAACTTAGTGCAAATCCCGAGCTGGCGTGCTGCACCGACTTTTACCCTCCCGATCCACTCGGTCGATATGTTAGGGTGAAGAAAGCTGAAGGCATGAACTGTATGGTTTGAATAGGTGGGACAGTGAAGGTACAAATTGATATTAAGGCAGATGACGTTACATACTGTTTTGTGAGAGCACCTATATGCATATGCTAAATGAAGTGAATTTCCTAGATGTTAGCCTATAATCTACGTCAATTAGTATCCGACACATTTGCCATAAAATCAATTCGTTATCCCTTGAACGGAAAACTTTAAACCACTTTCAATCATTCATAGCATACATTTATCTCGAAGGTTTGCTGACAAACGGCACAGGCCCAGCACACTTCTCACGGCTGATAGTCGTAAACATATTCATTTAAGCTGTATGTTAAATACTTCGTTGTCCTCCTATATTTACATTTATAGTACCGGGCCTTCCCTCCCACCTGGGGATCCTACCGGTATGGCATCTCAGCAGACCACCAGTTCCGGATTCAGTTCTCTGCTTTCTCGCGCCAGCAGCCCACCCACCAGCCGGCGTACCTCCTTGAGAATGCTGTTACATGCCGCGAACTCCACCGGAGCTTATTCCTCAAACAGCAAAACTCCGGGCGCGGCTTCTCAAACAGGAGGAGTCACCTTTTCTTTCCCAAGGCTTAAAGCACCACCTCGTTATGCATCGCGAGCTGTGATTAACGAGACGTATATGCGTCGCATTCGTCGTGATAGAGTAGAGAACTACAAACGAACTGCCAATGAGATTTATCGGGCCAATGTCGATCGCATGGCGTCGAAACAACAACAATTGAGCACTCCCACCACGACGGAGCCTCGCACAGAATCCCGATCATCCTCTCAAGATCAGAGCTCTTTAGGTTCGATTGGCTCCACCATAACCGCCTCCGAAGGTCAGGTGGGATCAACAGACGAGGCTCATCGCTTTCCTTCACATGAGCCTGGAACAGTACAGCAGTCATCGCCTTTGGATTCTGTCACGTCATCGTCATCATCCTCACTAGAATTGGTGGGAATCGAATCGCCTGGATTAAGCATAGTGAAAGGCCCACAGCCGGGTTCAAGCTCAGTTGATGAAGAGGCGAAACATAGTCAAGCGGAGGTAGACAGCGGCTTGGGTGGTTCCGATGATACAGGTCCCTCTGAGAGAACTCAGGCTAGTGCGTCAAACGAACCACAGGACGCTAACGATCACGCTTCGAATGCAGTGGTGTATGTAATCGACGATCTCCACGGACCGGAACTTAGCCAAACAACAACATCGCGTAAGTCACTCAGCTGTTTTAGAACCATCTAACGTTTGAAACGCTCCGTACCTGCTTGTCGTGTTGCCTTCCCATGATTGGTTGATTGTTCTAACAGTTTCTTCTTTGATTAAGACTGTACGCATCTTCTCGCCTGAGTAGAATTGTGAAAGTAGCAGTCGTTCATTTTATCAAGAAGTCTGCACTACTACTCTCCTCTCTTCTGGTTTCTATTTCTTTTCCATTGATATTCCTAGGGATTTACATAGTCCGCTTTGGTTCACAGTTACGCGAAATCATGTGTCATAGGTTTCAACACGTATTTACCTATAACGGGATTGATTGCTCAGTGGTCTCCTAACCACGGAGTAGAAAGTGTTGTTTTTGTTGCTTGTACTTATCAGTGTTTTCCACTTTCTAATTTTATGCTAATATATTCTTCAAACACATGTTGGTTTGTCATTTTGAGATATCGGTCAAATTGACTGGTTTCATTTTCTCCCGAAGAAATTAATTTATTATTTATTGATTTATTATCTAATTTTGTCAATAGAACCCATCTAATCCGCACAAACAGTAAGAGTTTAGACTATGTTCAAACGATACCATTTCGGATTCAGTGGGGCAAGCTACATCAATGACTGTTCAGTCTTATTCTGACGCGCGAATGTTGCGCCGGACATATTTGCAACAATCTGATACTCGTCAAATTTAATGCACAATATGAGGTTATGAATCTTGGACAATCACTGCAGACTACCGCATAGGGTCTCTCATTTTTGCATTAATCTCACATCAGTTTCGATCTAGCCTTGATCTTGGAGTCGACCAAACTCCTGTGGTCAATATGTGAAAATGAACCGGTCCCCATTGGGCCGGTAATCTTACTGATTTACAAGAAAGATGACAGATTCTCCAGTAAAATTCACAGAGGAATTAGTTTAATCAACATTGTTTCTAAGCTTCTCGCCCCATCGATTGTCTGCCGCACATAAATGGTGGACGCGTGAAAACCAGGCTGGTTTTAGACCTGGTCGAGGTTGTATCGACCACATTTTCTCTGTTCGACAAACTCTAGAGCACTTCCCCAAGCATTGAAAATGTCACTGGCTGATAACGAAATGTTTGCAAACAAAAGTTCGGCGTACAAAAGAAAATGAAGTCGGTTCATTTAAGCTGCGGGAAGCGATTTTCAATAGTTTGTCAACACATGTATGCTTTGCACAGACCCACATTCTCTATCTTCCTGGATCTGAAAGTGACTTTCGACTCTGTGGACCGCTCTGTACTCTGACGCTGTCTCTGCTTGAAGGACATGCCCGATAAGTTTATTCTAATATCACCATCCCGATAACAATAGCCGAATTCGAGTCCGATTTACAGCATTTTTCTCCCGTGTTCCCCACGGAAAGCGCTGTTCGTCAGGTTTGCCTTTCTTCCCTGTACTTTTAAATATTTTAATGGATTTGAGTTTGTAAATAGCTCTATAATCACACGAAACTAGTGCCACTGATATACTCTCAGGTGGCTCACTGTCTGATCCAGATTATGCAAACGACATTGTACTGCTCAATGAAGATCCAGGTCGGTTGCAATCTTTTCCGGATGGTTCAAGTGACGATGCTGATATTTTTGGCATGCGTTTTTCATTCTTCAAAGCGCGAAATACCGTTATAGGATTGGCTTGTTCCAGCTCTCTGTCTCACCATAACTGAGAAAGCAACGAGAACGCAGACGGATTTCGCTATTTTGGATAGCTATACCTCACTGGATGACTCAACACAAATGATTTATCGGAATGCATACACGAGGCTCCGTTTGCATTTGCCAACTTGAAACTTCTATGCCTCCATCGTGACATCCGACTATCGGTGAACGGTGAGGAGCATACTGTATCAGTTCGGTCAGTGCTGCTATATGGCGCCGGGACTTGGCCGTTATGGAAATAGCAAAAACAGCCAATGTATGTTCCAACGCCGCAATCTCAGTCGGTTTGCATGAACCTGGTGGGAGAAGTGGGCAAGCAAAGCTACGGTTAGATGCAAAGTTTTAGGCGATCGCGCTTTTCCACTGGAGCAAGTGTTTGACCTCCGTAGATTACGTTGGTTAGGGGAATGTGTTACGCGTGTTATGAGGTAGATCGTCTCAGCCTTCTGTGTTCGCTGAGGTTAGCAATAGCTGCAAAACTGTCATACTTGGGCAGACTAAGACTTGGTCTGCTGGGATGAAAATACTAGTCGAGGTTCACAAATACAGGTTAAAATGCAACATACAATGTATTCCGTGGATGGGGAAGTCAGGATGGTTAGAGACAATCGGTGATATGGCTGAGTGTCTCAAATAGCGAGTCTTGAGCATCTACTCAACTTCTTCACAGCTCTGATCTACCTATAAATCTATCTTCACCTATCTGCTACTCCTAGTTTTCTAATTCTTCCCTTTACTCCATTCATCCATGTGGATAAACAACAACCAGATCCACCGCACGAAACCGCATAGATATTGGTTATTCTTCCTATTCACGTGTTTGGACGACACTTCGAGGTGAATTTATTGATTGTTGACCCACAAAAGTAACCAGTGAACTTCTTGCTCTCCCCCCACCCGTCATTTCATTATGCGTTCCACGCATTTCACAACTCAACTTCATTTTCATGCAGAATATTCGCAGTAATATCGATGTACACTTCTAAAAGTGTCACCCAGCATGGTTGGTTTTAACTCGGTTCATGCTTGTTTGTTTGTTTCGTGTTTCTAGCTATCTCAGATATCAAACCGATTCTGCGAAAATCTCCCAAATCTCCATCTGGGCACAGCAAGAAGGCCGGGGATAGTGGGGCCGACGTCACAAGCGATGCTACCGCTTCGTCTCAATCATCCCAGTGTCGATCCAATTCTGTTCGGTTTCATCCACTTGCTCTTCTGTTGGATGCAGCACTGGAAGGTGATATTGATCTTGTGAAGAAAGCTGCCGCACAGGTACGTTCATACTGCTTTCGTTCGAAGCATTAACTGTTGTGCAATCGGATTACACAATTATCCAGTTTCACAAACTTGTTATTCGATTTGTTTCATGCCGCTCCATATCATACAATGTGCGGTTCGTTCAGATGTTCGTTTAGTTGATTTTCAAACTGTTCTGATTGCTCCTCTTTGGTGCACGACGATACACTTCAAAGCTCAGTCTCTCGTTCGTTTAGTGTGCTTTTTCGTGTTACACACGTTATCTTATCCTTCTTGAATTCATTCCTTTCTTGCAACCCTTGGATGAGCCGATTCCCGTTTGTCAAAATTCGATTGTACTATGGTGTATTTAACAAAAAAAAGTGGGGATGGTGACTACCATCTTCTGTGCTAATGTTAGTCAAATTTTTGAAAAAACCTTTGGAGTTCAATACCAGCGAGTTCTTAAGCTAAGTTCAGGATTCCAACGTAGTGCAAATATTTTTTATGACCGACAAAGAGCACTGGACATCAGTTTCATCCTGTTTGGGACTCGTCAGCATTGCGTACGTTTTGTGTCCCTATCGGGATTCGAACCGCGACTTCAAGTCCTTACCCGCGAGCTACACGGTCGATAGTCATCACCTTGTGCAAATAGTCCCGTTAGTTTAGGGTATCAAGTTGGGATTAGCCCATTCGCTTGTTCAGAGGCACCAGGCACTCTTGATGGTCTTCGGTGTGGGTTTCATTTCTTGGGAGATCAGTAATTCCCCACTAGTTGAATGCAGTTAAACACTGAAAATTGAATGGGCCAATCCAGACTTGACACTGTAAAAGTTCCAGGATCTTTATTAATTCTTTATTGATATCTCATATGTGGATGCGCCTTTTAAATTCTTAATTTGACTTAACTCAAATTCTTTCATCATCACGATTGTGACAAAATTGACACTCCTCTACTCCCAGTCTGATTCATCGTCCCAATCATCGAATCCCATCATTCACTCTGTCTTTTCCTTTCCGTTTTTAGGTGTCGGATGTTTCTGAACCAAATGACGAAGGGATTACTGCGTTGCACAACGCGGTCTGCGCTGGTCGTATGGATATTGCAGAATTCCTCGTACGGACAGCGGGCGCAGATGTGAACGCTGGCGATACTGATGGTTGGACTCCGTTGCATTGTGCAGCTTCGTGTGCAAATTTGCCACTTGCTAGACTTCTGGTCGAACATGGAGCGTCGTTGCACGCACGCACTTTGTCGGATCAGGAAACTCCTTTAGAAAAATGTGATCAGGGTGATGATGAGGCCGAGTGTGAAGAATATTTATATTGTAAGTTTTCTGAATTGATCTAATCTCACTTAAACGGTTTTCCTGGAAGTTCGATATTTCCCATCTGTCCTCTCTTCCATTCTCTTTCCAACGTCTTTACAAAATGCTGGGTGTACACGATCGATACACAGCTCTCCTTTTTGTCTGTTTAGCCGGAGGGTATTTTTGCCATCCAATTCATTTTTATTTTGGCCACCAAAATGAAATCGAAGTTTGTCCGGAATGAGGAAATTCCATTATTTGTTTGTTCTTCGTTTACCGCTCCTGAAAACACTAGATCTAACTGTTCCCAGTTACAGCCCAAATTGTTTCTTCCCATTGAATTTCTGTTCGAGGTTGTAACTCATTGGTAGTGTTTACAAAATGACACCTGAAGGTTGCCAGCCGAATGGAAACAGTGATGTATATTCCACTAAAATTCAGTGTGCACAAAGCTGGGGTTTATACTGGTAATCCATCTACGATAAGCAGATGGAATCTTCCCCTCATTGCAGGTTAATTGATGAAATGGCGTTCTTAAATGTCACATGCAGTTGATGTTGTTAATTTCGTCTTTCACTTTGTCCTCGGTTTTACTGCTACTGTTCTACGATTAACTTTGCTAGTCCTGCCACCACTTTCATCAAGTTGAATTGTTAGACAATATCTTGCGAACATCCAGGATGAGAATGCACCTATTCTGTGTAACTTGTCAACGTCCAATCCTCATCATAGTATCCTCCTGTAATAAATTTTTCTAATGATTTGTTGGCTGTTTGGTTCCGTTCTCAATTGCGCACTTTCCCATTTGCCAACGGGATTCTGGTTCTGTCACTATCTAGTCATTTATTAGCAAAACGGTGCCAATATTTGTAAAGTGCAGTTCAGGTGCGTTTCAGAATTATCACTTTCATCAAACTCATTCATTTTTCTACGTGGGTCGAACAATTGTTACATTTATCTTACGTCATTCAAAAGCTCAAGCATTGATTAGAAATTTATTTCGAAAATATCACATAAAACGCAAACTGGACAAGTGTCAGACAGTCTTAACGGCTTTGACTCTGGTTCGCGGTAGACCGTTGTAAAGGTTTGGGACTAGGCACACATTGAGAGATGCAGTCGTGATTAGCTGTCGCTGATAAATTTCACGCTTCCCTGCTCGCCAGTTGTAACTGGTCGTAATTCATTGAGGTGCACCGAATTGCACACGACATAAAAAAAGCACTCAATCACAGCGGTTCACTAACTAAACTAGTCTTTTGGGTGCAGCGGAAATAGTCACCTCGATCATTGCTTGATGTTATAAGCGGTCTGTTTCTTGTATAAGTCTTGGCATACTAACCGCACTTTTATCAAGAACTGATTTTTCACATTGACATTCTCTTTGGATGGAGTTCATTCATTGAAAATCGTCCACCTACAACATGGTTTTTGTATTGTGTATTGTCTCAACCAGTTCGGTTCCATTTGCGAGTTCGGGAAATGTATGTTCGAATAACCGTTACCATTTTAGCCAGTAGTTCGTTCTTTCAAATATTGGTGAGAAAATCGTCCCACTGTGGATCCGATGCACCAAGCGGTCGTGAGTCAAAGAAGATGGAAACACCCGTATCTGAGAATAACAAGAGACGGAATTGTTCGTCTGCAAATCGGACATTTTCGAGGTCTAGAAGAAGTTAACTGGCGCATCGTTTTTCAACACCATGATGATCTGCGTTGTAAATTGTGGAGATTATGTGCTTGGTCTTATGTCGACCATATGTCACTGTTTAAAAATTCACTTGATCGACGTTTGTTGAATCAAACATTAGTATTTTGATGAACGTAGACGACAACGACAGTTTGCGTGTACGCCTGGCTCTCGATGTGGTCCCCGTATGATCAACATTATCGTTGCAGTTTGTGCTTGATTGCTGTCAAAGAGATGACGTCTTCTCAGATCCAACTCTGATGCATACTAGACACAAATGTGAATGCGTGTGAAAAATTATAACCTTTCTAAAATCCAACGCAAGCAGTTCTTTCTCGGCAATTCGCAATGATCCGGAAGGAACTTGATTATATGTTGATCGAATCATATCTATGTTGCAGTGCGAAAGCTACGCTCTCAAAACAACAGTTAGACTCTTGTCAACCTCGACATTCGTCCTGTGCACACAAAAGGATATTATATGGTGTGAACCGGTCGGAGACCGTGGAATTGCTGTTGGTATATACTACTACAAATGTATACACTATTATTCGTTGACCCCCGTAGATTATGTTATGTGTTACGCATGTCACCAAATAGGATGCCACGACGAGCGATGTTCACCGAGGCAGGTGGTGGGTGGAATAAAGCCCAGGGTGATAAAACTAAGACCTGGTATTAGGGTATGAAAACCCTAACCAGGGTACTGGGTCACATAGGTCCCGTTAGGCTGCCTAGATGGGGACCTCAGGACGATTGTAACCGATGGTTAGATACACTGAGTAATATGGTTGGGTTTCGTAAACAGTGGAGTTCTTGCATTTTCTCGATTTCTTTGCAACATTAGTCTGCTTATATTCTCCTTTCCCTTCGATCCTACTTCCAATCTTTCCTGTCCTTCTCCTAATGTTCATCCAAATGGCCAGCCAAATTACAGGAACCAAAACCGGCGCACGAAATTGCATGGTGAATGGCTGTTCAAACTGAAACTGAACTGATCTCCATTATTCGAAATTCACACTGCTTTCATGCAAATGGTATGCTACAATTTATCCATTAGGTTGAGTATCAGTTTGTCGGATAATAGCGTGAAGCCTCCATTCGCAACCCAACGGGTCCTAATTTCTCTTCTCATTCATTGGTTTTTAATATTATCCAACTGTTGAATGTTCTTCTCCGCGTTGTATGACCCATATGATAAGCCACTTTTGCGTAGGTCGAGTATTCCGTGTCCTCACGGACTCTTGCATCCGTGAGTACTCATAAATTAGATTTATTTATTTTTGTCTTCAAACTGAGGAGTTTTAATGACATGGTCGTCCTTTTTTCGCTGTGTTGATTCCTCCGTATCTCATACTTGGTTCACATCACCAAAATGATTCGGTCTTTTTCGCACTCACTCACTGAATTTCTACCTTTAGTTTTGATTGTCGCACTAAACACATCAACAATTAGACAATAATAAAATTTAATTTCAACAATCGTATTCTCTCTTCTCTTTCACTCTTTCTAGTTCAACAAGAGCGACTGGGATCAGCTGCATCTGGCCGCGTGTACGTCCTGTTTCCACGTGGACTTGAAGCTGCGGGTCCGGGATCTGCTGACGCTCACGTAGAACCGGACGAACTGTCCGTCCGGCCGAATGAACCTCTGACCATAATTGATCGTGAACCTCTGGGTGAAACCGAATGGATGCTGGCGGAAAAAGCCGATGGAACCCGTGGCCTTATTCCTCGTTCGCATATCTCGTGCTATCCGCTAGTGCGCATTCCACCGGCAAGTCTTCCAATTCCACTACGTGCACCTAAACCCCGGCGATTTGAATGGTGGGATGATGAAGATGTGGACGGGTCGGGTGATGCAGGTGACGGAGATGAAAATGATGAGGATGCAGAAGCGGAGCCGGAGGATGAGGAAGAAGACCTCACAGTTCCGGCGGATAGAGCTTGTGGTTCATCCGAGGACCCCAGATCTCCGGTTCTAGTTGAGGTAGACACACCCCAACGGGAGACACCAGATGTAGACCTGATTCCTGAACCTGTCTCGAGCGGCACTAATTCCACAGAACCGTCGCATACCAAATCTGGAATGGCCGGTTCTGCTGCAGGTATCACTATCTCTTCCCGACTGACCATTGATCCAGTGGAAAAATCGACAAATGTAAGATTTGCGGTTACCTCCGTTGTTGAATCCATTGTCAAATGACTTGATCATTCTGTTATCTACTTCCGGTTCCCTGTTGCCATTCAAATGAATGGAGTAAAAAGCTGGTTTGTCTATTTAGGTTACCTACGACTGTTTTTAGTTCCGCTGGCATCAACCACGTGTAGAGCGCTTCTCCAAATTGCACCAGATCATGGAGTCGGCATTAAAGTATACATCGAAACTCCTCTTCGGCTAGATCATTTGATCATAACATCCACTCTTGACCTTTGAAACATCTCAGTGTTATATCTTCCAATTAATTGCATGTATCCATTACCTTTAATTGCTCTATTAACTCAGTCATTCACGTAAATCGTTCTTCACGATGCAACGTAATTGGCAAATTCGTTCACCTAGGGGAAAGGGTCCGTAGAAAGGGAGTAACATCATACTGGATCACGACGTAGCCGCTTTTCATGTTATTGAAATGAGAACACACGTATTTTCCGATCAATGCTCTAGCCTCCCTCGACCGCAACAGCTTTTAGACTTGTCTGCTAACTATATCATTTTATTCTGCACTAGGCATTCCTGGTTTTAGAGTATCTTCGGGGAATATTTCATCACTTTCACTAGTGGATCAACGTGCTTCAAGCATCAAAGGATTTTCCTTTTCTTTGATTTTGAATCAATTTGTTTACGAGTAGATTTATTTCCTCTCACCGTTTCTGAATCATGTAGAAGAAAACGGGATGCTTCTGGGTAAACCAATTATGTATCCCGTAATTGCCATCAATGACTTCGCTCGCTCGCTTTGTGTGCGTGTTTGTTCTCATTCCACTATGTTTGCTATCCTCTTGGTCTATATTGTAGGACGAAGCTGCTCATCGAGAAAACCTGTTCATTAACTTCCCGTTTAGTTGAGACCGCTGCTTATCTATTTCGTACTATATTTGTTTCCTCACAAATTCCAGTGCCTTGATTTATGTGATCAATAGCAGATCGAATGATGGACAACTGATTCATGATGTGCAGCAGACCACTGCAAGCCTTTTAATCCTTGTTCACTATCGTTAGTCGTGCATATCTAATGAGCTTGAGGGCACGTTTCGGGATATACAGGATTCTTACATATAAGCACCAGGTTACTCGGATGGTTTCAAGTCAAAACTGCATGTTAAGGTGGCCATCGGTCTGTTTCATCTGGCGTTGATCAGCCTCACTTGGACGAAGTTTGACTCCTTGGTTCACGTCCTCAGTCGTAAACAATACCAAACTCCTAAGGCAGTCATAGTTCTCACACGGCTGTTCAGT